TTTTATTTATTTATTTATTTTTTTACTTAATATTTCTTTTATTTTTCAAATATCCACTCTTTATGTTTTTTATACAAATATTTGATTTCCATTTTTATTTTGGTGTTATTTAACTAATTATGAATTGTAAAATAATTAAAAAAAAAAAAAACATAATTCTGTTTTGGTCAACCACGAGCAACAATTTTAAACCGGCTGCCAAATAGCTACTGTTTACTATCTCTCATCTACACTCGAAAATGTTATTTTCTTAGATCAAGGTCAACATGTTATTGTATAGAAGTGTTCTCACTAACTAAAACTAAACACTTTCGCATGCAATATCTCTGCCAGTTTTAATATTCAGGAGATTTCCAGCAAAGTTAACAAAATCATAGGCTATGGAATCAACCCCGCCTAGCATTAAATTAAAAACAATGACTTTGTCGCTGCTGCTATGTCTTACTTTAAATTTATATTCACACTGAATACACGCTTAGAATACAAGCGAATAGCAATAACAAATGATTTATTGTGGCAGAATGCATTGTTTATATCTTTTAATGTCTTATTTAAAGATTATCAAGTAAGTGCAAATCTATTGGAGACTTAAAGTTCGGTGACATCGAACTTTTTATGCCCTATATACAGGGTGAGATGAAAAAACTGCAACCAGTTACAGCTCATTATATTGTTTACAAGCGTACCAAAGCATTTCGGTGAGAATTTTCCAAAAAAAAAAATTATTCGTGAATTCAAGCGGATTTCTTTATATTTGGCTGGAAAACCACAAGTGGCTATCGTTAGAGTCCTCCAGCATTTAAATGTGATTAAATCTTTTGTGTCTCGTAGCATCGCTCGTTACCGTGATACTGGCAGCGTAGCTCGATGTCAAGGAAGTGGACGGAAGAAAACAGCAATATCAGCAGAAATGGTTCGAAAAGTAAAGACGCGACTTGATGGGAACCAGCGTAGCAGTGGCCGAAAAATGGCTAGTGAGCTGAAGATATCGCAATATTCCATTCAGCAAATATTGAAAAATGAGCTCGGGGTAAGGCCATTAAAATTCCAAAATGTACAAGAACTTACACCGCAACAGAAAGAAAATAGACTCAAAAGAGCTAAAGAGTTGCTTTGCTTGGCCAAAAGTGGTGAACTGCCGAATTGGGTTTTCTCCGATGAGAAGACATTCGTTGTCCAGCAGTTTGTAAACAAACCAAATTATCGTGCTTGCTTGCCGAAGAGGTCAGCTGAAAATGTGCATCTTCGGTTGGCCACCAAAACTCAAGCGCCGGCCATGGTGATGTTGTGGGCCGCCGATGGTCTCTCACCGCTCGTATTAATCGACCGTGGCATCAGAATAAATGCCGAATATTATCGCGAAAATATTTTGTAGGGTGTATTAAAGCTTTGGGCACGCAAACATTTTGGCCGCAGATTTTGGACATTCCAACAGGACTTAGACACTTAGCACGCGCCCCCAATAATGGTTACAAAGTGAAGTTCCTCGTTTCATTTCCATCGCACAATGGCCACCAAAATCTCCGGATACCAATCCGTTGGACTTTTGTTTTTGAAGTATTTTGGAAAGCAAGGTTGGCACTCAAAAATACCAAAGTGTTGATTTCATCAAGCAAGCGCTTCGCCGGTAATGGACCAAAATACCGCAGAGCAACATTCGGGCAGCGTGTGACGATTTCATTGGCCGTTTAAAGGCCATAATTCGTGCCAAAGGTGACCAATTCGAACAAATCTAAACTTATTCTAAAATTTGATGCAATTTCCGACATTTTTTGCTTTAATTGAATAAAATTTAAAATTATGGCGTTTGATTTTGTTGCAGTTTTTTATCTCACCATGTATTTGCATACATATTGTCAAAAAAAAAATCGAAAAAAAATCCTAAAGCAACATAAAATCCCGGAACCTCTAATATTTGTAATATTAAATATATTATTTATTTTGTTTTTTAAGAATTATTTCTTTTTTGATAAAATTTATCTCTCTTCTATCTCCACCCCAAAGAAACCAAATACAAAATTTTCGAAAAAAAGTCATATTTCCAAATGGGCTGAACTAAAAAAATAGCTATAACCTCTTGTGAGACCAACTCCCTCACAGTGCCATTAAATTGTACAGTGTCTCAAATATAGGTACGTATGTACTTATTCTGATTGTTTCTTTGTATGTAAAAAAATTTACGATGTGAAACCGGTTATTTTAAGTTTTCTGTATGCATTCATTATTCACTTCTGCCGTGTTTTGATTGTCAATCATATAATTTATTTGTTAAACAGTCAACTCTGACTATATGTAATTTATTGGTTCTTAATATTTATATAGCAAAATATCAACATTAATTTTGAAGCCATCCTTGGCTGACTTAGACTTATGGCTTAATAGGTTACGGCCCAATAAACCCCAAAAGGATTTTAAATCCTACATCACTTTGGACGAAATCTAGTTGGTTCACACGATGAATATCGTAGGGACTATTTGATTGGATTCAAACTAGACACATCGTAATATATATTATAATTTGATAGAATTCGACAATGGGAGGGAACTCCCAGAAACAGCCCTCTGGTGCATCCCTTAATAAAATTTAAAGAGAAAAACAGTTAAGAAAATAAAAAAGTCAGTCGGAGTGACTACTGTACCAAATATAATAACTATATTGTGTATTGTATGGCTTTCAGAGGACTTGACCATTTGGTGCACAATAAACGTTATATAGGATAAAAAATTTGGCAGAGGTATTTCTGAGCTGTGGGAGTGCATATTAGGTATTTGGGGTGCATATTACGAATTTTAAAGGACTTAAACACCAAGTGGGATGAAACACATATATTGAAGCTATATTTGAAGCAATTTTTACCAAATTTATATGTACTTCTATGCTATAGTTGGTCGATATAAATCTGATTCGCTTATAAAAAATATCAATAAGGTTCGACTTTGGACCAAACAGATGATCTGCGCATAATTTAATTTCACAATTATGGCTACCTATACTTTCCTTAGAAAAATACATGTATAGGTGGACGGAACGACTCATATCTGTCCAAACTTAGGTCAGGTCAGGTGCGAAAAGTAAACAAGTATAATATAACTTTTAATACCCTCCATCATTTAAGAAAATTATCAGGATTGAATATTGGGTTCACTTCCATTTGTATACCCTCCACCTTGGAAAGGAGGGTATATGAACTTTGTCATTTCGTAGTTTGTAGCATCCCTAAATATTCGTCGTAGAATAAAATTCTAAGTCGATTTAACGATGTCCGTCTGTCTGTTGAAATCACGATACAGCCCACATTATTTGACGTAGAGCAGAACATTTGTATTGTGCTTTGGGATAGCCCCCATATAACGGTACCTGCCGATATTCGGTATTTTGATGATTTTTGCCACATTTTTTCACGATTTTTTTTTAAAAATTGGTATTTGCGGGTCATAATGGATTCTAGCTCGCATGGCGAAATATTGTATGTATAGGTCCACGTTTTGGTATAGTCCCCATATAACGGTACCTGCCGATATTCGATATCTTGATAAAAATTGGTATTTATAGTCCATAGTGAGTTCTAGCCCGGTGGCAGAACATTGAATATTTAGTTCCACGTTTTTCTATAGCGCACATATAACGATACCCACCGATATTCGGTATTTTGATAATTCTAGTCCTATTTACCCAAGAAATTGTTTCGCATTTGGTATTTTAGAAGATTGTATAGATGACAATACCTAAAGTATAAAATTTTCTATAGAGGTTCCCATTTTGCTACGTTCCCATATAACGGCCTCACTTACTTTATGGTTTTTGGTTAATGTTGCTGAAATCACAAAAATTCCAAGTATTTTGAGGTACCGCTATATGGGTTATATCAGCAATCATGGACCTATTCCAGCAGTTTCCGTTAAAAATCTCCGAAATCCGTTGAAAATGTTGGTGAAATCTTTGAAATAACTAATATCCGAAAGTAAAGATATGTAGGGGCTATAGTAAAAAATTTACCCATATTAAAAATGTTCTGCCACCGGAGCTAAAACGCGTAACGAACTCTGTACTAAATTTAAAATATGGAAATATGTCATCATTAATATACCTATCTGGAGAACCGCCAAATACAAAAAATCTGTACCAATTTTAATATAACTTGCAAATTTATTTTGGAACCGAATTTCGTCACTATCTACGAATTTAATTGGAACCGGACATCCATGTCGGCCGAAAATATATATGAGAGCTACATACAAATCTGATCTGATTCCGTAACTCATTTTTTAAAAGGTCTTCCAGAATGAATTCTTCGATTATTATAAATATGTAAAAGCTCTTCGGCAATACCTCGAGATTTTTAAAAAGTATTTTGTCGAAAAATAATAAATTCTTTAACAAAATTTTTCAAGGACTTCATGTAAAAAATCGGGAGAATGTCCTGGCTTTTCATATATATATTTTATGTGCTTACACGTAAATAGATATGTAATGGACCACATCATGAGGACATTATCTATTTGCAAATCGACTGACATTTCCTAACTTATTATGTCCTTCCCCATGTTTGAATTACTAAAAAATATTTTTTTTAGCTCACTTCAATTCCCTATAGATTTTACTGTTATGCGGTATTGCCTGTTGCGATTTCATTTAGGCATTCCATTGTTGTTTGCGTTAAAAGTCAACCGTGTAACGAATCTTGCAAAACAAAGGCTGATACAGGCATTGCTTTGTTAAGTTGTTAATAGCATGGGCCCTTCCTTCCCTATTTAAAAAATAATTGATTGCCGCTGAAAGTTTTTTGCGTTCTGTTTTATATTTCCAAAACCGGTTATTCCAGATGCCGATGTCAGGTGCAATGCTCAATGCATACAAATGCCAATGAGGGTAAACAACATTATTTGCCAACTAATTGTCATTGTTATCTCTTCTCGTACACATTTCTTCGTTATACTTAACCTTTATTGGTATCCCTGATTTGGAGAACGCAACACACACACACACTTATACACAATAATTCTTGTTTTTTTTTCTTCATTTTATTTATACCAATTACACAAAAGAAGAGAATTGAAAAAATAATAAAAAACTAAACTAACAAAATAACAAATTACACCTTGTTACGGCACCGATTTCTGTAATCCATCACTTGGCCACCAGGACAATCACGCCCCTGATACTGCAAAAGGAAACGATCGTCAAAACCCTCGGGTACGGGTGGTGTTTGATTATGCTCACCTGTGCTGGATTTCGAGGCATCATCGTGACCAGGTATGGGGGCCAATGGCACCTTTTCGGTACTTGTTACAACGGCAGCGGCGGGAGCAGATGCGGCCTCATCACCATGTTTCTCATCGCTGTCGGTGAGTTTGTGTTTCACCTCATCGTATTTCTGGGCCACGGTACTGCCGAATTCCTTGGCCTTGGTGGCCACTGTGTCGGCATAGGGTTTCAGGGTGCAGCCGGCATTTTTAAACCAAGCCGTAACTTGTCCATCTTTTTCCGGATCGCCACAATCTTTTTTCTCATCCTCGGCTTTGGTGGCGGACAACAAAATCAAAGCCAAAAATGTCCAAACAATCAAGGATTTCATGATGAAGAGTATTGATACTTTACACGAATATGGATAAAGCGCGGTTTTAATAAAAATCGATGTTTCTCCACTAAAGAGCTTTGAATAACTAAACTTTGTTGTTCGCTATTCTGATCTGTTTGGCCAAACGGACTGCTGTTGTTGTTAAAAAAAAGAAAAACCAAAAGCTGTGATTTGTTGTTGAGTTGCTCTCTCTCTTTCTCAGTCTCTCAAAACTCTGTTGAAAAAGCAGTTAAATAAATAGAGAACAGTGTAGCCATTTTGGGAGATTTTGGAAAATTGGTCGTTTAGTTTGGTTTTCTACGAATAGACTGATTTTTTATTCACAGCACATTCCATTTAATAGAATTTTTTATACCCTCCACATATAGAGTAGGGGGAGGAGTTATATTACGATTGTCATGCCGTTTGTAACACATCGAAATAATGATTATGGACCCTATAAAGTTTGTATAGAAGATAGAAATCTCCAATTTTTCACAGATCAGTCTTTGGCCTGCAGGTAGGCCAAACTCGAAGATGGGCCATATCAGTCCACGATATCGTATAGCCCCAATTTAACGGTACCCCCGATATTCGGTATTTTGATCATTTTTAATTTATCTGGAATCTAATGTGTGAAGTTCTTATTATGCACTCATCAATCTGACCAAAAATTATGTAAATAATTTTTGCCTATACCCCCAATGTAACGGTAAACCCAGATATACGGTATTTCAGTGATTGTAGCCATATTTTTCAATAGAATTGTCTGAAATTCTGCAGATGAAGTTAATTTCGCGTACTTTACTTTCCTAGACAACAACAGTGAACCAAAATTAGTACCATTTAGTACTTTTCGACTTCAATATGAAATTTAGGGATTCCTGCTCCATACATTCACTCCATACCAAATTTAGTAATATTTAGTACTTTTCGTAGAATTTTAGAACTCATTTGGAAAATCGTTTCATATCTCAAGCCTAGATACCAACAGACATCGCAATATAATATTTTAGGGTTTCAGCCATATTTCTTCACCCCATAGCAAATTTACTACCATTTAGTACTTATCGTACAAACATAGGTGGCATTTCCAAACCACAGCTTAATCTCAATCACAGATACATAAATAATAGAAATATCAAACTTTAGAAATTTATCCCAATCCCTTCACCCAAAACCAAAATTAAGTACTATTCAGTACCTTTCGTACAATTATAGTACACATTTCAGAAACCATCTCCACAAGTCTAGGCTACACATGAAAGACGAACCTAAATTTAGATTTGTTTTAGAATAAGTTTCGATTTGTTCGAATTGACCTTGAAGCCGTCACACGCTGTCCGGTTGTTGCTCTGCGGTATTTTGGCCCATTCCCGACGAAGCGCTTGCTTGAGGTAATCGACACTTTGGTATTTTTTAGTGCCAACCTTGCTTTCCAAAATACTCCAGACACAATAGCCCAACGGATTGGTATCGGGGATTTTGGTGGCCATTGTGCGCTGGAAATGAAGCGAGGAACCTCATTTTGTAACCATTCTTGGGTTGCGAGTACTGAGTGCGATGGTGCTGAGTCCTGTTGGTATGTCCAAGGTCTACGGCCAAAATGTTTGCGGTCCAAGGCTTTAATACACCCTCTAGAATATTTTCGCGATAATATTCGGCATTTATTCTGATGCCACGATCGTTTAATACGAGCGGAGAGCGACCATCGGCTGTTATGGCGGCCCACACCATCACCATGGTCGGCGCTTGAGTTCTGGGGGCCAACCGGAGGTGCACATTTTCAGCTGACCCCTTTGGCAAGTAAACGTGATCATTTGGTTTGTTTACAAACTGCTTGACAACGAATGTTTTCTCATCGGAGCGGAGAAAACCAAATTCGACAGTTCACCACTTTCGGCCAAGCGAAACAACTCTTTAGCTCCTTTAAGTCTATTTTCTTTCTGTTGCGGTGTAAGTTCTTGCATTTTTTGGAATTTCAATGGCTTTACCTCGAGCTCATGTTTCAATATTTGCCGAATGGAAAATGCGATATGTTCTGCTCACGAGCCACGACGCAGGTTTCGATCAAGTCGCTTCTTTACTTTTCGAACCATTTCTGCTGATGTTGCTGTTTTCTTCCGTCCACTTCCTTGACGTCGGGCTACGCTACCAGTATCACGGTAACGAGCGATGGTACGAGACACAAAAGATTTATTCACATTTAAATGCTGGAGTGCTCTAACGATAGCCACTTGTAGGTTTCCAGCCAAATATAAAGAAATCTCAATATCATGGTTGAATTCCATCACGGATAACTTTTTTCTGGAAAATTCTCACCAAAATGCTTTTGTACGCTTGTAAATAATATAATGAGCTGTCAGTGAAATAATTTTAACAGCTGTCGGACGAGTGGCTTAGAAATGACAGCAGTCTGAAGTTGGTTCATCTCACCCTGTATAGTAGTCATCACCCTGTATAGTAGACCGAAGAATTATTGGGATGTGTGAAATTTTAAGTGAATCGGATGCTTTCTTCGCATTTTTAAGCCTTTTGGTTATTCAAAATGTTGACCTGTTGTGGGTGAGGTACCAAAAAGGGGGTGGTCCGATATATTTCATCTTCCCACCTGGTTATGTGTTGATAGAAATATTAGGATGTGTGAAATTTGAAAGGAACCGGATACTCTTTTCGCAAATTATAAGAGATATAATTATTAAAAAAGTTGACCCTTTTTGACGGAGGTACCGGAAGGCGAGGATCGATATATTCCATCTTAACGCCAAGTGTTGTGTTGGTAAAAATATTGAGATGTGTGAAATTTAAAGAGTATCGAATGCTTTTTTTCGTATTTGATAAGAGAGATTATTATTCTAAATATTTGCCCTTTGACTTTGACCTATTGTTTACCAGAAGGGGTGCACCTATATTGCCCATCTCCGAACTCGATCGAAGTTTGACAATAATATTACGATGTTCCAAGTTTGAATAAAATCGGATGCTCCAGTATTAGCACCAGCCAGACAGCCAGAAGCACACCTCTAGATCGACTCCAAATGTCCTGAAACAGATTTGGCCTAAAGGGACCTGGGGTACAAATCTGATAACTTTATGATACATACCATCTTTAGCCATTTGGCTGATGGTATGAAAAAGCTTTGACGGGAAGATGCGCTACCTATCAGATGAGGTAGTAAATGTTCCTTTGATTAATTGAATTAATCGGTTATTCCAAATAGTAATGGTTATTCGGTTCATGTAGCTCTCTAATGTATGCTACGCACATTTCTGTACATTTGAGATACCTTCTCACAATAAAAAAAACTTTTGTTCTGGATTTGTTCTGTAGAGATATTTGGGTCACATTTGTACATAGGTGATGTATGTGCACATGCAACAAAAAAGTGGAAGAACCAGAACAAGTTTTTTTTCCAAAGACAGACATTATGAATGACAAATGTAGCAAAAACGTCGATACTTTAGCACCAAAGAAGACAATCACATTGGACAAGAAGCCGGGAAATTACAAATGGTCCATCATCGTCGTCTGCAGGCCATTGCAACATCAGTTAGGTGTCACATAACAGTCAACCATACGGTCTCGGACGTTAAACATCTCTCAGAGAAAACATAAAGAAATTATTTACAACATTAAAAAAATTAAATAAATTAAGAGCCATGGCATTTCTTTCCTATTATATTGTGTTGCAGTTTTTGATCTCGCCAAACGTTTTCGATTGCATTCAAGGCGCCGCAATAATCTGTGAAAATGACAGTTTTATCAAAAAGTCCAATGATTTTGGTGACAAATTCGCCCATAATATTTCACACATTCACATCTCCGTCGAGACGGAGATCAACGAAAATGAAGTCAACAAATTTCTTCATAAATCCAGTGTACCCTGGAGAAGGCCAAGCCATGGATGGATGAATTGCAACAGGAAGCTAAACGTTTGGAAGAAGCCGCCAAGTTGCTGGGACTTGGTATTATAAATAGTTTTGGAGCATTTATTGATAAATTGACAGAGGAAGAACCGCAGAAGCCATTGCATACTGCTCTCAATGCTACAGTAGCTGGCAATGGGGATAATAGTTCCACAACAACAGCAGGTGAATTAGCGATAACAACAACAACCGAGGAGATATCCGAATTTTTGTGTCCCGAAGGATTTATTGCCGATCATAATGGTATTTGTGAGCGTATTGAATAAATGTTACGAAATAGGTTGGATATAAATCTAAGTTCTATATCTGCATTAAAATTTTAAGGTCCGACAAAGATTCGCAAATAAAATGTCATTGGAGATATTATGGAATTGAGTGACGTATTTGTTTTGTTTTTATGTTTAAGGAAAAATTTTGTTATAAACTCCAGCTTTGTAACTTCTCGAAATTGAGAATTTCTAGATCAGCGTAAAATTATAAGTCGCCTGTCTTGTCTTTCGAACGAATTAACTTAAACGGCTAAAATTTTCTAGACGTGTGTAATTTGCCAGTAGGCATGTTAGGTTTGTAATTGGGCCATGCCGGTCTATGTTTCCGTACAGCCTCCATATAACGGTACCTCCCTTTATTCGAAATTGTTTTAAATTTCGTATCTGAAGATTTTATTGGGCACTACAACCTATGACAAAAAAAAAAATACTTAAGCAGGTGCAGCTCTTCGTGTAGCTCCCGTATAACGGCTTTCATTTAAGCTGTATGTTTCGGAATTTTTTCAAATTTTTCAAGTTTCTTCGAAATGGTGGAGGGTATTAAAAATTCGACCCTGACCGAATTTAGCTGCTTTTTTACTTGTATTTATATCCTACCAACCTATGTGTTGGGAGTTAGGAACTTTATAACACCTCGAAATATTGGTCCCCGATATAGGAAACTATATATATGGATCTTCCTATCTCGCCGTATGCCCGTCCGTCTATGTGTCCATGTTAATTTGTAATCAAGTTACGCGATTTTGACTCGATCCTCACGAATGGAGGAATTTAAAGCGGAGATGCGGTTAGGGTCAGAATAGAAGCCTATTGGTTTTGGAGATGATCCCAAAATATTAAGCGGTTGAAATGGGCCAAAAACAGAACAAATGGCAATAAAAAATATAGCATGCGATTTTTTTCAATTCGACTTACAATTTCGAATTGTACATTTTCTGAAGATTTTCGGTCGCAATTATCGTCCGATCCTCAAAAAATTTTGCATGGGGTAGGGATAGGGTCAGAATTGAGGCCTATTCTTATGGAGATGTATATCTAGGGGTCCAACTGGACCAAAAAAAGTAAAAGTTTTCTGATTTTGCAGTCGCTCTACAGGTCTACATGCATGAGGTTGCATGTGAGTTAAGGACAGGGAAGAAGGCGACCATTTTGGATTACCATTGGATTATATTTAGCTGTAAAATGGACCACAAATGTTGTTGAATTTATATTGAATGAATAACAACACGAGCAAAATAGATTTGGACATTATGAGGCTTCCGACATATTGTAGTGTAGGAGGGAATCACATGGTCGGAACCGCACGACTTTGGTCTTTGCTTACTTGGTTTTATACCCTACACCACAAGTGGTCAGGGTATTATGTCTTTGTGCATTTGTTTGTAGCAGGCAAAAGGAAACGAGATAGATCCATAGTTCCTTTAGATGATCTGCACAGAATCACATTCTGAGTCGATTTATGCATTTATCCGTCCGTCTGTCCATGTATTTTTGTAAACAAAGTACAGTTCGCATTTATTGTCCTATCCATATGAAATTTTGCACAAATCATTTGTTTGGCCCAAGGACGAACCCTATTGAAATTGGAGATAATCGGTCAAAATTTAGATATCCCATATATATCTTCGTCCGATTTGCTTTTATTGTGCACCAAACGTGTAATATCAGCACTTACGATCAGATTGGACCTCAAAATAAGTATGCCAAATTTGATCGAAATCGGTTCTGATATAGCTATATCTCCCATATATATTGTTCATACGATTTGTTATTTTTGTCCTCCGCAGCCGTAATATGCACCCTATAAAACAATATTTGTGGAACTATATCAAATACAGCTCAGAAATACATTTGCTAAATTTTATCGAGATCGGTTCAGATTTGGATATAGCTCCCATATATAACTTCGACCGATTTACCTTGGATTGTGCACCAAACGTCTAATATTTGCCCAAATTAGATGAAATTCGGTACATACGACCGAATTGAGTCTAGAAGCTAGCATGTCAAATTCGGTGAAGATCGGTTCAGATATAGCTATAGCTCCCATATATACTGTTCATCCGATTTGTTATATTTGTTACCCACAGCCGTAATATGCACTCCGTAACAACGATATTCATGGAAATGTATCCAATACAGCTCAGAAATATCTTTGCCAAATTTTATCGAGATCGGTTCCGATTTGGATATAGCTCCCTCTATATATTTTTATCCGATTTCAAATTAATTGTGCACCAAATGGGCAATACAAGTCCGAATTTAAAAGATACAAATGTTTCGGCATATTTAGTCCTTTGAACTTTAAATTATAATTATAATCATAGCGTGTATGATTGAATTCTCTCATAAAAACTTTTAATTGTTATGCGGAGCTCTATTAAATTAGGAAAGTGGTGTAGGGTATCACAAAGTCGGCCCCGCCCGACTTTAAGACTTTCTTTACTGTTTTTTTTTTTGGTGGTTTCAAAGGAAACAACTTGCCCGCTTTGGTCCCATCCCCACAACGGTAAACAATTTTAAATAACCAAAACTATCATAAAATGCGAATTGAGCGTCCAATTCTCTTAAAATTTCGCACACCCCTACATACATACATCAGTTGGCGATATCGACTGATACTTTTTTAACTTGTTTTTTTTTTTTTTGCCAGGGTGCTGGCTCTTATTAGTTAGTCAATCTTTGTACCTTTTTGATAACTTTTGTCATAAGTGACCACGATAATAAATTTCACGACTCAGCCGCTTTGTCAGAGTATTGATGTATCCGTCAAGTAGTCATCATTTTACTGTTTTATATATAAATTATATTTACCATATATATATTATAAATAATATTGACCACATAGAAATAAAAAAGTGTGCTTCTACCACCATACGCTGCTCTGTGGCGCTGGGTATTTTGTCTTTGTGCATTTGTTTGTAACATAACGTAGGAGACGAGATCGATCCATAGTTAATTATTCTGCTGATAATCTTAATCGAAATTGAAAAGTGAGCTCGGAGTAAAGCCATTGAAATTCCAAAAAGTCCATGAACTTACACCGCAACAGAAAGAAAATAGACTCAAAACAGCTAAGGAGTTGCTTCGCTTGGCCGAAAGTGATGAACTCCCGAGTTTGGTTTTCTTCGCTCCGATGAGAAAACATTCCTTGTCCAGCAGTTTTTAAACAAACAAAATAATCGGGTTTACTTGTCAAAGAGGTCAGCTAAAAATGTACACCTTCGGTTGGCCACCAGAACTCAAGCGCAGGCCATGATGATGGTGTGGGCCGCCATAACAGCCGATGGTCGCTCTCCGCTAGTATTAATCGACCGTGGCATCAGAATAAATGCCGAATATTGTCGCGAAAATATTCTGGAGGATGTATGAAAGCCTTGTGCACGCAAAAATTTTGGCCGCAGATCTTGGACATTCCAATAGGACTCAGTACCATCGCACTCAGCACGCGCCACCCAAGAATGGTTACAAAATGGGGTTCCTTGCTTCATTTCTAGCCCACAATGGCCACCAAAATCTTCGTATACCAATCCGTTGGACTATTGTGCCTTGAGTATTTTGGAAAGCAAGGTTGGCACTAAATAATACCAAAGTGTCGATCCACTCAAGCAAGTGCTTCGTCGGGAATGGACAAAATACCGCAGAGCAACATTCGGTCAGCGTGTGACGGTTTCATTGGCCGTATGAAGGCCATAATTCGTGCCAAAGGTGGCCAATTCGAACAAATCTAAACTTATTCTAAAATTTGATGCTTTTTCCGAAATTTTTTGCTTTTATTCAAAAAAATTAAAAAATATGGCGTTTGACTTTGTTGCTGTTTTTTTTTTTTTTTTTTCACCTTGTGTATGTTATTGTAAAACTCTGTCGGATATACAGAGTGGTGTAGGGCATCATGCAGTCGCCATTGACCGACTTTTTTCCTAATCTTACCTCTAGACAGCAGAAATTTATTCTTTGTTTAAAAACATTCAGTTTATAATTGCAAAGATCAGAACGAAGTTAACTTTTTCACAAAATGAGTATTCGATTTTTCATCCTTTTATTGTTTGTATTCTTGCTGGCCATTATCGGGTGCGATGGAGACAGAGCCGGTGCACCGCGAAACTGTCGACGTGGTTGTTCCCACAAACCAATGAGCATGAAAGATGTAGACCTAACTAAAGCTCAACCTGTAACGGTAGGAGGTATTTATTTCAGGTCGTACCTTTGGAGATTAATTTTTTTCCTTTTTTCTTTTATTTTCAGGGAATAAAACGTAAAAAATTTTCATTCGGAAAATAAGTTCGCTATCTTGTTGTTATTATAAAATTGACAAAAAAACCTGTCAATAAATATCCATTTTGCTTGAATACTTCGAAAATGTATTGGATTAAATTGGAATTTTTATCATTCATTTGATATGACCAAAACGAGCCTCATCGAAATAACGGTTTTAGATCCTTGGTCTCTTTGGACATTTGGAGTCGATTTAGTGATGACCGTCCTTCCGTCTGTCTGTTTGGCTGCTGCGCACGATAACTCTCGAATGGAGTATCCGATTTGATCCAAACTTGGTATATCGTAATATTATTGCCAAACTTAGATCGAGTTCGGACATGGGCAATATCGGTACCACCCCCCCCCCACGCACAAAAAGTCGGAATAAAAAAAAATTACTGCACAAAAAGAGAAAGGATAATCCGATTTTGCTCAAACTTTGCGAATGCAAATAGTTGCATTAATGCTAGGTCAGGAGCGAGAATGGATAATATCGATCCACTCCACCAAATACCCCCCCACAAAGGTTAAAATTTTTTTGAAAAATTACAACTTTTATAAAATGTGATATAAGTCCCCGATTGTCTTCAAATTACGCTTATCGTAATATTTTAATTAACCAAATGTCTGGAGTGAACATGGGATATATCGGTCCACTCCTTCTGGTACCTTCCCCACAAATGGTTAAAATTGGGAATATTTATGAAGCTCATAAAACACGAAATTAACATCCGATTCCATTCAGACTTGGCACATCTCAATATTACCATCAACACAAGATCTGTTATATAGATGGTGGAGATCGGACAATTCCTTCTGGTACCTCCCCCACAAATGGTCAAAGTTTGGAATAACCAAAACGATCATAAAATCCGAAATAAGCATCCGGTTATCTTTAAAGTACACACATCAACATATTTTTATTAACCCAAGGTCTGGTGTGGTATGGTATGGTATGGTATGGTATGGTATGGTATGGTATCTATCGATCCACTTCTTCTAGTACCTCCCCCAAAAAAGGTTCAAAATTTTGAATATCCCTATCCCTTTCCGCATAAAACACGAAATTTATATCCTATTCCATTCAGTTTCGGTAAATCTCAATATTTCCATCAACACAAGATCTCTTATGACGATGGTAGAGATCGCACGATTTCTTCTGGTATCTCTCCCACGGGTTTAAGATTTCTGAAAATCAAAATGCTCAAAGAAAGCGAAATAAGCAGCCAACTCTCTTCAAATTTCACACATCCAAAAATTTTTGCTAACTCAAGATCTGAAGTACCTTCAATTTCCAATACTTATATCTGTCAACTTGCTATATCTAAATATTTCTCTTAATCAGAAATCTGATATGAATATTTGATTTATCGAAATTTATGAATTCGCATAAAATTGGATTTAAATGTTCGATCTCAACCAAATTTTGCTCATACCGATATTTTTATCTGTATTAGATGAAGTATTAAAATGGAATACTTCGGTCTGCTATATCTGTTACCCCACGTATATTTCCGCATTTTCCAAAAATGTACACATATTTCATATAAAGTATAGGAAGTAGACGATGTAGTCCAAATATGGAACTTTGCAATATTTCTATCAGTCTTAGGTCAGATACGAATTGGACAACTGCTTCGGAACCTCCCCCATAAAGGGTAAACAGTTTGAATTATAATAACTCAGGGCTGGGTGTATAAATCTGATACCGATTGATACTATTTTCCTTGTTGATTTTTATAAAAGTCACTCGAAAGCAAAATAGTTCGAAAATAAGCCACTGAACTGAAATATAGTTGCACTTTTATTTCAAACTCCAAATATTAGAAAAAATATAAATTAAAAAAAAAACTAACATTCACCTTGGGCTCGTCCGGGATTTGAACCCGGGACCTCCCGCACCCTAAGCGGAAATCATACCCCTAGACCAACGAGCCAGTTGTCGGATCGGCAACTACAGCTAAATAGCAACTAATTCCATTGTGTAATGATCAAAGCACATGTAAAACACTATTTCAAATTCCGCGACGCTTGGTTTGGATGTTGTGCGACATCATGTATGTATGCTTATCAATTCATACATACAAACACACACACAACATATTTAACATAGCGTATTCAAATAAAGCGAACAACATAAATAGAAAACGGCGAAGAGAAACTATTAAAAATAGCTTTAAGTTTTTTTTTTTTTTTTGATAGCCTCCACCATGTATGGATCGAAAAAGTGTTTTGCGCCCTTAGACACCAATTTAAACCCAAATGGATTTGAAAATATAACTAAAATTTTATACAAAAAACTCAATAAGCCGAAGCATTTGTATATTTTAAATTCGGAATTGTATTGCCCATTTGGTGCACAAATAATTTCAAATTGGATAAAGATATATATGGGAGCTATATCCAAATCGGAACCGATCTCGATAAAATTTTGCAAATATATTTTTGAGCGGTATTTTATATATTTCCCTGAATATCGTTGTTACAGAGTGCATATTACGGCTGTGGGTAACAAATATAACAAATCGGATGAACACTATAGCTATATCTGAATCGATCTTCACCAAATTTGACATACTAGCTTTTAGACTCAATTCGGTCGTAAGTGCCAAATTCCATCCCATTTGGACAAATATTAGACGTTTGGTGCACAATAAAAGGTAAATCGGACGAAGTTATATATGGGAGCTATATCCAAATCTGAACCGATCTCGATAAAATTTAGCAAATGTATTTCTGAGCTGTATTTGATATATTTCCCCAAATATTGTTGTTACAGAGTGCATATTACGACTGCGGAGGACAAAAATAACAAATCGGATGAATAATATATATGGAAGCTTTCTGAACCGATTTCCATCAAATTTGGCATACTTATTTTCAGGCCTAATTTGGTTGTATGTGCAAAATTCCATTCCAAATTCCTATTCGGGCAAAGGCAAATCGGACGAACATATATATGGAAGCTATATCTAGATTTTGACCGATTATCTCCAATTTCAATAGGGTTCGTCCTTGGGCCAAACAAATGATCCAGTACCAGGTACCAGAAGAAAAGTACCGATCTTTAGCATTTTTATAACAGATCTTATGTTGATAGAAATATTGACATGTGCCAAGTCTGAATGGAATTGGGTATTAACTTATTCTTTTTTATGAGTTTCATGGATATTCAAAATGTTGACTCTTTGTGTGGGAGTTACCAGAAGGAGTGAATCGACATATCCCATTTTCACAGAAGATCTTGTGTTTTTAGAAATAATTGTATGTGTGAAATATGAGGAGAATCTGATGTATATTTCGGATTTTATAATCCTTTTATACCCTCCATCATACCATGGAGGGTATATTCATTTTGTCATTCCGTTTGCAACTCATCGAAATAAGGATTTTAGACCCAACAAAGTATATATATTCTTGATCGGCGTAAAATTCTAAGACGATTTAGCCATGTCCGTCCGTGTGTCTTTCTGTCTGTCTGTCTGTTGTAATCACGCTATCTTTCGAACGAATTTAGATAGAAGGCTAAAATTTTGCACACATGTTTATTTTGCCAGTAGGCAGGTTAAGGTCCACGTTTTCATATAGCCCCCATATAACGGTAACTCCCGGTATTCGTTATTTTGATGATTTTAGCGACATTATTCACCGGAATTGTTTCATATTTGGCATTTGAAGTTCGAAATGGATACTACAGCCTGAGACAGAAAATTGTCTATACAGGTCCCGGTCTTCATATAGCTCCTATATAACGGTACCTCCCTATGTACGGTATTTTTATGATTTTGGATACATTATTCACCGTTTATTTCAAATTTCGAATTTGAATATGGTAATGGCTTGTGACAAACAATGCCTGTGTAGGTGCACGTCGTACAGGCCCTAATATGACGGCTATATTCGGTATTTATACCCTACAACACTATGTGTTGGGGGTATTATAAGTTTGATTGGGCCAGAATTTATGTAACACCTCGAAATATTAATTTCCCATATAGGAAAGTATATATGGATCTTCCTAGCTCGCCGAGCTGAGTCGATCTAGCTATGTATGTCCGTCCGTCCGTCTGTCCGTCTGTCCATGTTAATTTGTAATCACTCTACAGGTCGTAATTATGGCCCGATCTTCACGAAATTTAGAATGGAGGTGGGCCTAGGGTAAGAATAGAACCCTATTTCTTTTGGAGATGATCGAAATGGACCAAAAACTGAAAAAATGTCGGATTTTGCAGTAGCTATACAGGTCGCAATTATAGACCAATCGACGCGGAACTTCGCATGTAGCTAGAGTTTAGGGCGGGGAAGAAGCCTACCAATTTGGGTGGTCATCGGATAATATTTAGCGGGTAAAATAGACCATAACCTTTCTGTTGAAAAAATTCAACATTTTTCATTAAACCGCGAATATTTTAAATCCCGGCAAAATCACAAAGCCTTGACAAGGTTACTTTTGATCTTTACATTGATGTTAACATCCAACAAAACGGATATATAGCAAAATATGTGCGATATATATGTCTATCAAAGAAGATATGCTTGAAACATCTCTTATATGTCGAGAACGGCTGAACTGATTTCAACAGTTCTCATTAATTCAGAATAGCCTCTTGGCAGGAAAGAAAAAACGTCTAAAAAATCGCATAAAAATATCTCTCTAAAGATGAAAATATTGATTTTGTAATATTTTCTCATATTTTTTCCATTTTGTCATATTTTTGGCATATTTTCATTTTGAATTAAACATTTGGTAATATTTCTACAGCTAACAAAACTAAGTAGTTAGGATATCAGGATATCATATACAGATCGCATTTATGACCCGATCCTAACGAAATTTTGCCTGGGGATCAGATGAGGGTCAGAATAGAAGCCTACTCCTTTTGGAGATGATCGCCATATATTTAGGGGTTGAAATGGACAACAAAACTGAAAAATTGTCAGGAAGTCGTAAATATCGCCCGATCCTCACGCGAATTTGAATGGACATTGCAAAAGCCAAATAGTTTTGGATGGCCATCCAAAAATATTCAATGTGTGAAATAGTTTGCCAAATTTTGTAGACAAAATACGAAAATATCCATTCCAGTGACTCTT